CCCAGATTTCTTAAACTGGCCAGTATCACCCTGCTCGACTGCTGCACGCCACATGGGAGCTTCGTCCGGATCATGAGATGTTGCATCCCGGTGCACGCGTTGCGGCAGGAGATGCCTTTTCCATTTTTGTCTTTGAGCTGGCTTCTTTGAGATGCGGGCGGAAGTAAGCCGCAAGGCATTGATGCTATCAACTTTGTGTTTGCTCACAAACAAGCAGAGCGCGTCAAAGTCGCTTCTTGAAGCCGACTCTTGGATCAGAGCCATCCCGATGTTCACCATCCACTGGCTGCGGCTTCAGGGCCGCGAGCCCGAGAAACGTCGAGCGAAGCTCGGACTGAGATCTCGCCCGATTCAGAGAGCATTTCCGGACGAACTGCTCTGCCAGTTGTTCATCCCGGCCGGGATGATCTAGAGGGCTTTCCTTTGTTTGGGCGACACAGAAAAACTCGTGCAGTGCAATGAGCAAACGCAGAGCTCGCAAGCTTCGGCCTCCTTGTTCCACGATGCGAAAACGTGGTATGCGTAGATTGCGTGACTTTTGCTTCACCATGTTTCAGACGCTGACTCATCATTTGGCCCACAAACATTGAGTCAAATAAACCCCTTTGAGACATGATGGAAGTCTGCACACATCGGAACGTGCCTTTGCTCAACAGTGCTGTTGCATGCGGCAGGGCAATCTAGCCCAAGCCTTCAAAAGAAGTGTCAGAGACAGCCCGGGCCCTGACATATCCTGTACTCCAAGAACCCTGTATGTTTTAAGGTTCTCGACAATTCCTGTTGTTTGCCAGAAAACCATTTTTTAGCATACAAGCGTACGGGTTTGGTATAGGTTTTGTATGGTTTTTATACGGTTGTTAAAAGCCGTAAAACGAAGTTTTTCGTTGGAACACCGTGTTTTTGGTAAGCAACAGGTTCAAAACCAGGTTTTTTGTTTGCGCCCTTCTTTTTGTTGAAGGTTCTTGGAGTAGAGGGTAAATGTTCAGAGGCAGTGCAGTCGAGCTTTCTGCGATCCATTGCTTTCAACACTTGATCCGATTACCAGCGAAAAAAGGCGCGGTCTCCTTGGAAATGCAGGTCCTCGGAACATGGAACACGTCGAGGACAAAGCCTCAGGTAGGGATTGCTTGGGTCGACAAGTTTTTGGGCACAAGGGTTGCAACTACTGCAGCGTTTCCTTGGAGTTTGTTTATGGATCCGATACGCACGATAGTCAGGCCAGACCTGTTGAGGTTTCCTTTTACTCTTCTCCTTGGAGGGGTGTCGCTTTCGAATCAACCACCAAACCCGACAGATCGCAGAAGCCAACTTGCAATGGATCAGCAACTTCACTGCAAGCACACCACAGGAACGCGAACCGGAGCAACAGTGTTTGGTCAAAAAGTTGGTGGCGCACTTCTAGGCAAGGACGAAAGCCCCATTCAGAAGCAAGATGTGGGCTGTTGGCTCGCAACCTTTGTCAGGTTGGGAAACCAAAGGAAAAGAAGGTGATACTTTGGCCAGCAAAAGGCACCCCGAGCAGTGGTTGGTTTTGGCTTGGCTTTCTGCATTTTCCTGTAATCCTATTCAGGGTTCCCAATTTGATACCGACATGCCAAGACTGTCTCCTTTCCAGCCTCAAGTGGGCCTCCCCCAGTGGGACTTGGAACCCGTGGACACAGGGTGAACAGGGTGCTCAAAGTCAACAGGGTGCTTGAAGGTGACAACACTCCTGCACCAGTTTGGCTGGACGAAGCCTCTCGAACTTGCGAGCCAAAAGCTGAGAGCGATACGGAACAGTCACAAACTCCCTGATTAAAGACATGCGTCAAGCAGGCAAGTTTGAGAGCACTGCCTTGAAAGTGTCTGACTGCCAGCGCCGTAACACCTCTTGGGACTAGCCTGAACTGACAGAAAAGCAGCAACATCGGTCATGTCCTCGAGCAACTTGGATGAGGCATCATGCTTGTGCGTTTCAATGCGGTGTGTGGGTATGACTTCTGCAAGTATTGCCCACACAACTTCGTTCACCTCCTTGGTCCATGCTGGCAATCGTGAACTTCGTGAACAAGGAGGAGTGTGCAGACTGCTGGGCTCGGAGCAAGAAGCTCACGGCGGCGGGAGAGATGAAGGGTGTACGACCAGCCACCCACCACGGGCTGGAGAGAAATTTGGTGGATTACCTCTCTCGAGCCAAAGGCAGCAGTCAGATCATCACAAGGCCCCCCCTGGTGTTTGACCGGGGGAACTCGATCTCCTTGGCTCAGGCAAGCCACTCGCTTGAGCTAGAGTTCATGCGCAAGAGGCTTGCATAGACAGATCCATTTGGATCTTTCAAAGTCGACAGCCGCTTGGCACCCATCGACCTTTGCGCAGGTGCAGCTAGACGTCACGTACATGTTTGAACTTCAGCTTTTCGCTGACCCAATCACTCGCGAGCAATGTCCAAGTCTCTCAAGTAGGTTGGAACTTGCTTCCCGAACAAGCCGTGCCGGAGAAGATGCATTCGCAAGCGACGAGGCAAACATGGATAATGGTCAGATGCCAAAGATGCTTGGTTCGGCCCATCGGTGTGCTCAACCACCGCTGCGCGCAGGCGCAGGGGATGACTTCATGTGGTTTCAATAGCTGCTGCCCGGAAAGCCTGCCTTGAAGCTCAGGAGTTCTCTTTAAGCCCAAAAGGGTTGTTTGGGCTGGCGCAGCTTGCGCGGCTGGCGCATAGATTGCCGGATGTCGCTGGCGTCCAGGCTTTTCAACTTCGAGCCGCAGTGAATCGCCCGACTGCATCAGCAAGAGAGTCTCAAAGTGTCCAAATGTCAGGCCGCAGCAAATGCCATTGGGCGGACGTGTGCAGATCTGCAAACCGCGTTCAGCGACGAAAAGGGCCCCGTGCTTTCTGGATTTTTCGGTTGCCGGGGCGCTTCACCCTTTCAGGTTTTTGCCTTGGCAAGGGAAATGTCCCTTTATAACCAGGCTCCCGCCTGCTGCCGCCGACCCTCGGCGCATGAAGGGAAATGTCACAAGGACCGGTCCTGAAACACGTCCGCAAACCCAGGGACCACTTATAAGATTTTCTACGACCACAAACAAGGATTAACGGAAAAGTCAGAAATATGGCAGCTAGTCCGTTAATTGCCGCTTGGGCCGGCTTGCGCCCAAGTCACTTCGAGTTGGCCCGGGATTTTATCAAGGCCGATGGCCATTTTATCAAGGCCAATGGCCATTTTGTCAAGGCGGCCAGCCATTTTGTCAAGGCCAACGGCCATTTTATCAAGACCAATGGCCGTTTTATCAAGGCCGATGGCCGTTTTATCAAGGGGAGCTTTGGCGGGTCTTCAAGGCCAGGTTAGGGTCTAGGACCTAGGTTTTAGGGTAATAAAACGTCCGTCAAACCGCACGGGCCGGCTCGCGCCCCGTCGGTGCCCCGGAGTTGGGACCCTGTCCGGTCCTGAAACACGGGTGCTAGTCCGGAAACAGCGACACTGGAGGAAACAGGTGTCTGGAGCTGTTTGGGTTCTGCAGCGGTTTGAAGCCAGCGGTCACACCAGGGACCGGCTTGGACCAGTCCTGGGACCAGTCCCAGGACCAGTCCCAGGACCGGTCCCAGGACCGGTTCTGTGGGACCGGTCCAGGACTCATCGACTGGGACCTGGGTCCCAGGACCGGTCCTGAGACCAGTCCCAGGACGGACCGGTCCCAGGACCGGTGTTGGCTGACCTGGGACCGGTCCCGGGATATCCTGGCAATCCACTTTTCGTGCTTTCGGGCGTTCCTTCCAGGGACAATCATTGATTCCAATCACTTCCAGTTGCATCCCACGCCGGTCCCCTCTGCAGGAGGCTGGGACGGGAGGCAGAGGGTCGGCGGATTTTCCCTTGCCAATCTAAGTTTGGCAAAGGAGCCTGACATGGCACCTGGAAGATCAGTTTCCTCTTGGAGGGACCCCCCCGTCAAGTGCCCTGGCAACGTGTGAGGCACTTGAACACTAAAAACCGGAGGGCCTCGAGCGGCTCTGAGAGGCGCGACTCATCCAGCGGCCTTTTCCGAGAGTTGTTTTTGCATTTGGCATGTTCTAACTGCGGTTGCGCATTGTTGTGCTTGCATTGCTGATCAATTCCCTGGTGTCGCACATGGGATTTTTGTTCCTCTCAACTGAACATCGCTTGCTACTAAGAGGAATTCCCAGGCAGGGGCTTGGGATTGGCATGAGGCCCGCCATGCTGTCTGGCACCTGAACCCGCATGGCTCGGGGGAGGGCACATGTTTCCTTCTCCCACACAATCCATGTACGTAATGTTCGCCAACATTTGGCCTGTTTGGAAGGTAAATGGGTAAATGTTGCATACATGAATTGTTTGTGCTTTCTTGTTGACATACGCTTTTCCAATTTGGGTCCACATCGCCGGTCTAGGTTGCAACCCCTTCTTGTACTGGTTGCTCGCCCATGCGGAGTAGAACAGGTTTAGGGGAAAAAGTTGCCAGGTGAAGCTCAGTCGCCCCCCCCCCCCCGCGCTTTCAGGCCCTTTTCTCTCTCAGGACATCCACCTCTCAGGCACTCCGTTGGTGGCAAACGAAAGGTTCAGGCTCTTGCTCCGTAAGCCGGCAAGTTGGACCCCCCAAAACCCAGCACCCCAAGCCCCCCAAACACACCGAGCTTGGAAGAAAAGGGACAGTCATATCCCAGTTGCCCAGTGGTGCTCTGTTTTCCTTTTTTTGGGGAAGGCTTCCCAAAAAAAGTCCACCAACCAAGAAGGATGGATTCCGATGTTTTTCTTCCCCCTGGAAATCCGCTGGGCATCTGAGATATGGCTGGCTCAAGAAAGTGGTGCTCCAAAATGGCACCTTGGATGACACCGAGGGCTGAAACCTGCGGTTTGGCCGTGGCTCTTTAGTCTTGAGCCACACCCAAATGGACCCTTTAAAGTCAACCAACCAACAAAGCATGCCCCTTTTTTTTCCCCCTGGCCACTGGGCATCTGAGACATAGACCCCTTTTTTGGCCAGCGCGTTTGGCCTTCCAGGCAGCCGGCCCAGCTTCCTGGTGCCTGGCGTCGCCGCTCCCGCAGGGATTTGTGTCTTTCTGGTTTTGGGGGGTGCAACTCGCAGGTGACGACGCCTGACTTTTGACGTCCTGAGTTCAGTTGACCTACCTTCCTACTTCTGACTTTGTTGACTTCCAACTTCCGGTTACTAGTCACTAGATGGGGACGACCATTCTAGTGACAAACAACAAGTTTGGACTTTGTTCGGGCAACCTACTCAGGAAGTGAGGCGTTTCAATGCGAGCTCCAATTATTCTTTCAGCTTTTTAAGTGATTGACTTGTTTGCAGATTGACCACTTGTAGATGGGCGTGTTTGACTTCATTTGAATGGCCATGTGACGATGGGCAAAGGGCCACACCCCTGGCGGCAATCGATGGTTCCTTCTGGCACGGGTTGCATTTGAGATCAAGCAGAAAACCATTCTAGGGGTACCTTCCCCATTCTTTCCAGGAAACCCAGGGAAAACGGCCGGTTTTTGGACAGAACTATGGTTGAAAAGAATGGGGAATCAGCCCCTAGAACCATGGGTGTCCGTGTTTCATGGCCTGTGGGCAAGTTAAAAATGTGGCGGTTTCATGGGTGTGTCTTGTTGAGCCCCCCCTAGGCTAGGGGAAACATGGGGAAACCCTTGGTCCGAGACAAAGAGCTTCTATTTGCATTAACTAACAGTTCCAAACAAGCAACGAGCAGACACCCCGAAGAACAACAACAGCGCCACCTCGATCCGACGATTCGACAGACCCACCGATGCGTTGTTTCTATGCTTTTCTTTTGGGAAGCAACATTGTCTTTGGGCGGGGTGCCAATGGCCATTTCCCTTTGCAGTCAACGATGTAAACTCACAGCTTACCTCATGCAAAACGGGGTTGACCTTTCGAGAGACTCAGAGGCTCTATTTGTGGTAGCGGGGGTCAAGGGGTAAATCGCAAAAACACAGCAACATGGGTGAGAGTCAAAATAGGCGACTGCGAAACTGCCTGGGTTCCGTTCGAATACCTTTCAATTCCAAAAGGCGCGACATCTCCAAGAAGTGTTTGTCCTGCGACGGGTTTCTCTCCAAAAGGGGAACTAGGCAAATGCGGCAAGAGGCGGTTCCCGTTTTGGTCCCCCAAAACAAATGACCCATGCTGCCTTTTTTTGTAAATTCCGCAGAAGCCTTCTGAAGGGTGCTTCGGCCCCTTTCTTTTTGCATGGTCATTTGGGTGTGGCTCAAAATTAAAGAGCTACGGTTACGCAGGTTTCAGTCTTTGGTTTCATCTACCAAGGTGCCATGTTGGTACCACTTGTTTGAGCCACAGCCATTTGGGTGCGTCCAAAAATAGGGGACTTGCCAAATGCTGGTTTTCCGTCGGTTTTCCTTTGAACTAAGCCCAAAAGAAGGCACGTATCCGACACACGTCCACGTTCTAGCTCAAGAAAGAGGGATCATTCGCATTTCGACAATGCCGATCATTAGGAACAATGTGAAACCACGGGGTTGAAAAGCTTTTGGCGCATAAGAACGCTTCTGCGGACCTTGGTGGGCTTAGCAAACTATTGAAATGAGAGCTTTGCAGGGCAACTGAGCGCCCAAAACCCCCATTGGCCATTTCAGTAGGTGGTTCTACTCCCTATTGAATTGGGGTTCTAGCAAAGCCCCTCTAACCAAGTGGATCAAAGCACAAGCCAAGTTTTAGGCGTGCAAAAATGAGCATGTGTCAGTTGATCTTGAGAGAAAGGGCTGTTCCATGTCCCATTTGGAGACGAAATGTATTTGGGTGTGTCTTTTTTTAGGGACGCCCAAAACAGTGGTTTTCCTTTTGGCTTTCGCTTCAACCACCAAAAAAGGGGTACCATCAAAAAATGACGCACCCATTTTGTGGGAGGGTGCCGTTTCCATTTCCGCAGGTTGAGTGGCGCCAGGCTTGTTGTTCCCATATGGAGCCCGATGTGTTGTGTCAAGTTCAAGATAATGTGGGTGTGTCCTGTTTTAGGAACCCAACATGACGCTTGTTCCTTTGGCTTTCCTTTGAAACGGCCCAAAAAACAAACACACACACACACACACGCCTAAGTCAGCCTTAAGGGTTTCTTCACTTGAGCAAAAGCAGATAGAATTCCCCCCGATGGAGCCACAGTCCCATCCGTAAATAGGTTTCGGTGGATGCCCCTGCCAGTTTGCAAGTAAACTAACCCGACGCAACCAAACCATGGCGTAAATGTTTGCAGGTTGAAAGGATTTTTGGTCCCCCCCTGGCACAAAACTGTGGATGGACGAAATCCTGTACTTTGAGACCAGGGGAAACCATTGCTGGTTGGTATGTACAGGGGGAATCGAATCAATCCAGGGTTTCGTAGGTGGCGCGAATGGATTTCGCAACCATCCACAGTATGACGGGGCATCCCTTTTCACTATTTTCGATTTACCCTCAACTGTTCAGTGGCGCCCTTTTTCCCCTTTTTTGGGTGGGCCCACTTAAAAATTGTCTTCCAAAAAAAGGGTTCCCTTTTTTTCCAGGGTCACAACTGAGTACCTTGTGGCTGGTGAACTTCGATGCACGGTTGGGTCGAGTTGCAACGATGACGCCGTGGCGTCCCTTCGGGGATTGTGGATTCCTCGTTGAGAACTGGATTCCCAGAAGCCATCCAACTAACATCTCTTCATGGGACTTTCGCTGAACTTCTGTCAGCTTTCCGAGGCCTGCGAAACTTGCCCGAAGCTGGCATGGTCATAGCATCCAAACCCCCCTCAAAAACTCTTTAAGAAGGCTTTCTCAATTAGGAAACTAAGGAAGGGGAGGCCCGAATCCGATGTGCGCACGTTGCTGCCTTTCTCCTCCCTGCTTTTTCTGGTCAGCTTGGCCTTGCTCCGTCCGAGGTGTGGGTATTTGGGGTTCGGGGGTAGGTCTGTCATTGACCTTCCCTGCGAACAGCACCCGTGAACCCCCCCCCCAAAAACAAAAAAGAAAGAAAGAGGAAACAAAAACAAAAACAAAAAGAAGGAGAAACAAAACGAGGATGGTAGCTCAAGAGAACAGCGGGGTGCATGGCACTTTGGTGCAGAATCTCCTGACAAGACCCACGAGGTGGGTTTGGGTAGCTGAGGGCTGGTCCGGAACAGGCGCTAGATCTGCCCTTCGTTGAATCGACTTCTTGCAACCTGTGCCCGATATGCTCGCTTGAGTTCATGGATTTGGCTGTGGGTCAAAACCAATGGTACCATGTTGGGGTAGGTGCACCACCCATTGTAGTCTATTTTAGTGGGGATTGGGATGTTCACTGGGGGTACTGGAAGGCCATTGGATTGGCAGAAACGTGACTTTTTTGGCCAGTCCACTGAAGTGAATAAGTGATCCGGATTCCCTCTGCATGGGGGCACCCATTGCTGTAGTGAAGCAAGGTGTTTTTTTTTCTTCTGAGGAGGAGTTGCCCGAGCGGATCCCTTGGGGCAAGCTGGTGGCAGATGGTGTGACGCCCCAGCCAGGGATTGTGCCTTTCGGCTGAAGAGGGGGGTGCAGGCAGCCACAGATTGGTTTCTCGGCCCCCCTAGATGATCAACCCCAAAAAGGCAGATTGGATTTCTTGTCCCTTTTTCCCCTCCAATGTTTGTTGGCCCAAGTGTTCTCCAACCCAAATGCACCACGAACCCCCTTTTTGGACTTAAAAACAGAAACAAAAAAAAGACATTGCCGCGCACGTCGGTTCCCTTCGGTTCCCTTCGGTTCCCTTCGGTTCCCTTCGGTTCCTTTGGGTGCGAGGCTGGGGGTGAAGGACTACGGCGCGCTGATCGCCCTGAGCCAAACGCAGAAGGGTCTGGTGCCCAGCGCGGAGCTGCCGCCGGAGCCGCTGGAGCTGGGGCAGCCGGTGACCGCGCCGCGGCATGCGAAAAGAGGCCGCCGCCCGCACGCGTGCCTGGGAGTGTACCGCTTTTGTGGCCTTTTTTTTTCTGGTTGGGGTTGGTCGTGCCAAAAAGGGATTTTCAAGGAAAAAGTAGTTGGCAAGAACCGAAAATAAAGAGGTCCCGAGTTGACTGTATGTGTTTTTTTTGGGTTTTTTACACACCCCATGCTGGGGTGTTGAGCGTGGTGTACTTGCAATATTTGCGGCGTCCACCTGGACCCAGAAAGAGTTCTGTGGGTCAGAGGCAGAGAATCGGCCCTGGGATCCAGCTATTGGGCAATTTTGTTCGGCGTCACATACCTGGGGGCCATCCAACGTGAAGGCTCCTTGCTTGGGGGCCCATCAGTGAGTTATATGTTATTGGTGAGTTATATGTTATATGCTTGGGGGCCCATCAGTATTTTCGGTTGGTGAATTATATGTGTTTTCATGGGTTGCTCTTTCTTTTTGTTTTTCCTTACTTTTTTTGGGGGGGAAGGTTGCTCGGTTGCTTGGGGGTGCCTGGCCCAGGCATTGAATGTCAATGAGGAACACCCTCAAAGATGGTTGACAGATGTCAACCCGTTGAGCATGATGTCCACCAAAGGGTCCCCTGATTAAAATTTATCCCAGAATGGCCAGCATTCAACTTTCCCAAGACATTAAACGGTAAATATGGATAGTTGGTCAATCTCCCGAGACCCCCTACTGTTTTTTGTTTCTATGTTTTAGTTGTTTTCTATGTTTTTTTTTGTTTTTTTGTTTTTGTTTTTTTCCCGGGGAAGGTGGGCGCAATGAAAGCACGGAGCTGTTTTGAACATGAACACTTCAAGGTTCACATAGCTCACTTCCTGAGATTCCTAGACGTACTTTTTGGGAAGACCATTTTAATCGTAACAAAGAAACAATCAGACTTTTTGTTTGGGCAATCCACTCAGGAAGCGAGAGGTAGCACGCCTCAAGTGCCCAACCTGAAAAAAAACAGACACATGTTCGATGTCGACCCGTTTGATTCATGATGGGATGATGTTGGATTTGATTGCGACTGGGTGTCCTTTTGGATGAGTTTGGCTGAACATCTGCGAGTTGCAATGGTTTTCGCTTTCGCCCTAATCATTTGTGGGTTCCCCTGAAACCATTAAACAAAAGGGCGGGGTGCACCCAGCACCCAACCAAATTGGTTTCCCGGAAAGGATTTCTTTTCAGGAGTTCCCTTACCTTAAAGCAAAGAACTTTTGGTGGACCAGAACTCCGGGGCGGATCTCCAAGGCCTACATCAAGTTCAAGACCTTTGAGGCCCAACGGCTGAACCTGCGCCTGGCGGAGGCTTCGGGCGCGCAGAAGCGGCTCACGAGCCTCTGCTGCGATGGCCGCTCGCCCTACCAGGGCACCGTGCCCCTCGGACCTCGGAGCTTCGAGTCCCGGGAGGTTGGTTGGTGGGTGGGTGGGTGGGTGGGTGGGTTGTTTTTCTTCTTCTTCTTTGTTTTGTGGTTGTCTTTTTGTTTTTCTTTTTTCTTGGGGGGGGGTGGTTGGAACATGGGGTTGAGTTGGTGTTGGCGTGTTTGTTCTCATGGCAGTATGTTTTGGGGTAGACTTAGGTTGGACCAGTATCTGCTCAAGTCGTGTTTGTTTTTTGTACTCGAGATTTGGATCAAGTTGGAGCCCCACATGTTTGTGGCATACAACAATTGGACTCTGTCATCATGTCCCCTGCCGTACCCAGTTAGGCTGCTGATTGGTACTTCAAGGGGCAGGGTACTCAGTAAGTGGTAAGCATAACCCACACGGAGACTTGAAACCATGGTAAGTGGGTTGCAACCATGGCAAGTGACTTACAACCATGGCAAGTGACTTATAACCATAATAAGTAACTTATAACCAGAATGAGCGACTTATAACCATAAGTGACTTATAACCACAACTTATACAAAGTGTGTAACCAGCGCTTACTCACCACTTCCCTGACCTACCCGATCGCCCTTCCCCCGCGGTCCAAGGACCTCTTTGGCGCCCTTCGGGGTCTTCATCAACCTGGGCTTCGAGCGGACCGGGTTCTTGCCGCAGCGCAGCTGCGACCAGGCTTGGCATCGCTGCGAGAGACGGGTGAACAAAAATGTGGGGGTTGGAAGGGTCACGGGGCTTTCCAAATCAAAAGTTGCCCAATTTGGTGATTTCCTTTAACACCATCGGAATTGCCACTTTTGGAGGTTCCCTTTAAAGGGAGATGCCTCTGAAAAAAAAAAAAAAAAACATTTGCTGAAAGGAATATGATGTTTTTCCTTGTTGGTTTCAAAGGAAATCGATTTCACTGCTGGACATATATAATATAATATATATATATATATATATATATCATTTATATAGTTTTTTTTTCTTTTTTTCTGAGGGGCTTAAGCAAAAAAAAAGACGTGGGTGTGACTTCTTCCAAATTGGGTGTGTCAAAAACGGGAGCCTTTGCCCTGCCAGGGTTACACCTCGAGGCTTTCCAGCTTGCCGATCCGCAAGTCTGCCCAACCGCCGGTATCGGGGACCCCACAATATTTTCGCGGTTCTCCGTTTATTCCCCCTTTAATGCCACCAACAAACAGGTACTCTCTTTTAAAAAAAGAGACCCATGTACTTTCAATCAAATTAAAGCCACCAACAAACAGGCACCCTCTAAAAAAGGACAGACCCATGGCGCCCTTTAAACGGGAACCCGAAGGAGGTTGTTCAAACGATAGGTGTTTGTTTTGTCGTTCTTTCTTGTTTGTATCTTCACACAGCAGTTGGCCCACCCTGGCTACAAATGTTAATGATATCTTTGCGGTTTTCAAGGACCAATCCATACTATCTAAGCTTTTGAGCTGCTCTCGGTCGTCGTTGTTCAATGGTCGCAACAAAACATGTTGCATCTTTGCAACACCCTTGGATTTGAACCAGTTGGCACACAGGGTTTCTTACCCAAGACTCGGACAGTGAACCTCTTGTGAGCATGGTTAGATGTCATAGGTGGGCTTCCTCTAGGTTACCCTTACACCCTTGCCGTATTACTGCAGCTTAAACTATGTATCGTTTGCCCTTACACTCTTTGGGTGAAGTATCCTCTTTGCAAGCCTTTGGGGACCCTTGATGAATCGACCCCCCAATGGGTGGTTACTTGAACACTGGGGGGGGGGGGGGTTGGGAGTTGACAAAGAAAGAAAAGCCATATATTGCGAGGGAACATGCATGGCCTTGTCTTACCGCTCGTGACTTAGAATTATTTCTTGCTGCATGTTGCTTCTATTCTTTTCCCGGCGGGCTGCAAACAACAGTGCGTTGCTGACGTACCAGAGCGGCAGGCGAATTGTAGTTTGCAATACGCTGCAATGGTTGCTTGAGAACACTTGCTGGTTCTCGATAAGGAATCAAGAGGGGTTTCTGGAATGAAACCGGGCCATCTTTTGGCCATGGGTCCAAATCCCGTACCCCCAGCGAAAATCCAAATTCCCACTGACATAGGTTCTAAAATGGGTGGTGAATTCACCTACCCCAAAATGGATGGGTAGTTCCGAGGGGCATCCTCTGATTCGGTGGGCCCTTGAGCAGGTCAACTGGTTGAGTCATTTGTACACCGGTGAAAAATCGAGGTCCATGA